GCGAAAAAACTTGTCGATAAATGAACCCAGGTTTATTAACAAACTACGTAAAAAATTTTTAACCGAGTTCGAGTATTTCCAAATTTCCTTTCCTCAAACAGACATACCTGAGGCAAAGAGGGTTTGATATGCATCACTGCTTACTTAAATGGACGTTTACAATCTAAGCAAAGTGTAGGATTAAGAAAATCAGTGACTTAACTAAACTATTTGAGAGCGTGGAAATTTAGCGCAAAAATACCACTGTGGTATGAATGTTTAAATGACAGAACAACGTACTCTGATGGAAAAAGAAGCAATGTGATGACGGGGATCACTGCAAAGTCAGGAAAACTCACTAAGAGTGTCCGCAGCAACATCCTTCGCCATTGCAAAGTCTGCTACAACAGCAGTAGCAATTGTGGCTGGGACTCCAAATGGATCGACTTTCACACCTCTCCCTTCGTACTTCGTGTATCAAGCTTAAAGGGTAGAAAAATGACTTTTTAATGATGCCACTAGGGTGTGTGAAACGTTCACTGAAACCACATTTATATACTAGCATTCCTGCAATGCTGTAAGGTTTAATAGTTAATATTTAGGAATGGAAAACAAACTTCCCCTTCAAATATCACTTAAGATATGTGCGTCCACTACCCAATATTCCATTTATACTGTAAGTGAACGTCAAGAATAATTTTGTGCAACTTAATGCAAATGCACAATGAAAAAAGTAAAGCGCCCAATGATATAACAAGGCTGAGATAAAAGCGCAAAGGTGAAGAGCACAACCTGCACAAGTAGGCTTGGGCCAAATGAGGCTAGTAACTTCAAACTTAATTGTCCATTTCCACCTCTCTTTAAGCTTATTTACTAAAGTATGTGGAAAAGTGCGTCAAAGTGAGCCTACAAATAGGAAGATCTGAAGCCAGTTTGAAGCCCACATGAACAGCAGCAATGCTACCATACGCTAAGGGAGCTAAAGAAAAGATCGAACGCACACATGTCTGAAAAGGGCTAAAAAGTGGACAAAGGCATCTAGCTATTGCTCACCAGTTAAAACGGTTAGCCATGTACAAGTTATAAATAGATAAATATAACAATGACACCGTATATACATGTTGATTCAAAAATAACGGCGTGCAATTTACAGGCCAGAACCTGATTTAAGAGAAGCAAAACGAACTCCAATTCGACTTCCAGAAAATCAAAGTCTGAAAAAAAAAGGAGGAATCCCACGTACCATAAACACCAGCAGCAAATACGTGCAAAGCAATCAAGAACCGCCGCGAACAAATCAGGTGCGCATATGCAAACCCACGTGAGCCGCCCCCAGGCAAAACGCGCAATTCATGACAAATTCAAACAAAAAATCATCAAACTTAAGAAAGGATTTTCATGCAAAATGTGTAAAGTATTGCATTAGGTAATTTTTCACTTAAAAGTAACACAACTAATATAGGGTCTTATACCAACAACTATTTAGTTTTTAGCCTCAAAACCTATAAGTAAAGTTAAAAATAGCTTTTTGATGACTCTAGTAGGAAAAACGTAAAAGCTCTTTCATTTGCCTATATTTACAACTTATTTTGAAGAATATATTGGAGAATTAGTGCAGTGCCTCAGGCCAATAATGAATCTGCAATGGACCATACAAGTGTCAAGCACCATTTACCGATAACTTAGTCAACATTTAAAAAGCAAGGACTTAAAATTTAATCGTTTAAGGACAACAATGAAGTACGCGTGGTGAAAGTCCTGCCGTCTACAAACTGCTTTGCTCGAAACGCACAACTCCATACTTAGCCAATGCTTGTTTAAAACGCCATGATGCAGCCTTATAAAGGTACTCCATTGGTGTTTTTCGATGACAAGGTTTTGCCCACAAACGTAAGAAGGAGAACCATACAGTGGCATACACAACGACAACATAAAGGGGAAGCAGAGAAGACTGTGCCTGAAAGACAAAAGGGCTACAGAATGCTTATGCTGTTTAAATGTACCCCTAAGGGGAAA